AATTCCATTTATAAAGTTCTATCTTGGGTAAGTATCTTATATGCGTATATGAGAAGGATACGGACTGTGTATCTGTGCGTGCATGTGTATATGTACATATATATATATATGTATATATTTATAGAGGGTGAAAGAGGGTCACACAGAGCATTGTATAGACAGGATAGGAAATCGTAATACTTAGAAAGAAATATCACTTTAGCTGCATTCATGAACTTTGTCCTAAGAGTTAGAGAACTTTTAAATCACACAAATGGTCTTATTTTTGTTCTTTGTTAGATGGTGTGTGCACTTGCCAGAAAAAGAGGAGAGAGGAAAGCACTTCCTATGAGGAATGGTCATGTTACAGTCCCTTCTCTCTCTCTCTCTTCTTTACAGATTTTGGGCATACATGCACATGCACCCAGTGTGTTTCTTAAGCCTCTGGGTCTAGGACTTGGACCACGCTATTGGCCATATGGGCTCCTGCTGCCTTAACTACCAGGTGACACAGCTGGTCTCGCAGAAGTAATTCTTAAGTTAAAAGATGTTTATATTGGGGCTGGGAGGTAGCATGGTGGGTAAGGTGCTGAACTCCCCACATGGGTGACTGTAGTTTGAGTCCTGGCCCTAATGGCTTGCTTTCTTGCTCTCTTTTTTTTTTTTTTTTTTTCCTCTCTCTCTCTGATGTGCCCTATAGCAAATTTAAAATTAAATAAATAATTATTTAAAGAATGTTTATATTGGGGCTGGCAGGTGAGATAAATAAAGAGAAAGAACATGAGAAAGCAAGCCGCCAGGTCCAGGACTCAGACTGTGATCAGCCATATGGGAGTCCAGCATCCTTAACCACTACGCCACCTGCTGGCCCCAGGTGTAGAATTTTCGACTTGTGGTATCTCGTTGGTGCTCAAAGTTTCTGGATTTTGGAGCATTTCAGATTTCTGGATTAGGGAATGCTCAATTTTTATAGTGAAAGGGGCCAAAGAGAAAATGTTGAGATTTTTTTTGTTGACATTTTCAACTTCTTAAGTTGAATGAAATGACATAAATTATGTGCCATAAAAGGAGATCATGTATAAGAGAATCAACTTTGGGAAACTTGTTAGATCGTTAGATCTGGGTTGTTGACAGAAATGTAATCTCTATATTTTCTTACAGAATTCACTTTCTCTAGATGTACAACAATTGTATAGTAATTGGAAAATACTAAATTTGATAATGACTAAGTCTGCAATTGGTTTAATCAACACTTTAATGAAAGTGTATATATTTTGACTTAAAAAAAAATACTGTTGGGCCAGCAGGTAGCTTGGTGGTTAAGGGACTGGATCCCACATGGCTGACTGCAGAGTCTTGGACTCAGAGACCTAAAAATCATACTAAGCACATGTGTATGTGTGCCGAAAGTCCTGAGAGGAGAATGGAGGAGGAAGGATTACAATGTGGTCATCCCATTTCAGAGATGATAGCTCACTTTCCCTCTCTCTCTAGCGAGTGCACGTGCTCAAACAACAACAGCAAAATCTTAAAAAAAATATATTGTTTGTTTTTATGTTTGTGGTTTTAGGCAAGACAGCAGCAAGCAGAATTGGCCCAACAGGAATGGCTTCAAATGCAACAAGCTGCACAACAAGCCCAACTGGCTGCCGCCTCAGCTAGTGCTTCGAATCAGGCAGGATCTTCTCAGGATGAAGAAGATGATGATGATATCTGAAATTCACCAGCTGAGTTTCTCTTTCCTCTATAAATGTTTTTCTCTACCCAACAAAACAGTGAAAGAAATGCTTATCTGTAATTTTGTATGCATCTTGGTGGACTTGCCATTGGTATTCTAGGGATGTCTGTTGTTAAGTTCCAGCTGTTGTGTGCTATACATGTAAAACTGTCCCTTTGAACTATTGAAAATTTAAGGTTCAGTATGATATCAATTTTGACTTTTTAATGGTGTTTATGAAATTTTAGATAGCAGTGAGTCCTTTATTTGATCAATAAACAGTGTTACAGAAAACTTCAAGTTTATAAAATACAGTGAAATTTATACAGAAGTTCTGAAGCTACATTTGCATTTCCTCTGTTCTTTTAACTAAACTAAGATTTGGAATTTTAAATTATTGGGGGGGTAGTGATATAGTAGACATTGGATCAGGTTGGTGGGAAAAAAATGAGTTCAATTCTAAAATATCTGAGTTTTTGTCTTTTAAAATGAGTATATACTAGGCAATAATTACATATGCTCAGATAAATACACTTGTTTAGGGAAACCTCAAAACAAGACATTAAAAAACTAGGAAAGGAGTATTCAATAGTAGTTGTATAAATTTGACAGGTTATTTTTTTTATTTTGTTTTTGTTTTGTGTAGTTATAAAAATGAAAATTTTATTATGGCATAATTCATCTTGAGCTATGCTATTACATTTCAGAGACTCCCTAATTTTGGGAACTGTCATGATTCTTACTATTTTTCTCCAATTCAGTAATTAATTGTATTATAGTATTACTTGCTTAGTCCATTCATGTTTATATTATTCAAATATATAGGTGGGACTTGTAAAACAATTGCTTGGATTCCGTTGGTTTAGCTGAGGTTCGTGAATATTCAGACCTTGGCTAGGGAAGAAAAGTGAAAGTTAATGAGCATGCTTGTTATGAAAGAGGGATTTTTTTTTAACTTGTAGATATAGTTCACTTATGTTTGTTTTTAGCATTACTTGTACATTTTCTTGACTAGATGGCCTAGAGAGTCCAACGCTACCTGTGGAAATGACATCGTTGTCTCCTTTGTCATAATTGAGTGATAGCTTTAAAAAAAAAAAGATTTTATTTAAGAAACGTGTCATAATTAATCAGTCCTATATGAAACATAAATAATTCCAACCTGCTTATTAAAAGAAGCTTTAATTTGGTTCTAGTAAATAAAGGATAGTAGTGATTATTGCAGGAATCCTGTGTGTTAAAGAAATGACATATTGTTCGTATTGTGAAAATAGAAAAGCCATGTCAGATAACACAAAGTAATTCCTTTGTCAATTGCCAAATCATTTAGATTTTATATTCATTAAGCCCCAGAATGACAGTTGTGGCTGCCAGGATTTCAATTTTTTGATTGGCAAGCCTAAGTAAGTAAAAGTTTAAAAGTATTAGATTTCTTAAAGATTATATTTTATTTAGAAAAAGGGAAACAGTAATTAAGTACACTTTCCCCCATGTAATGAAAAGGTTAATTTTGTTGAATGTTAGTTGAAGTTACTTCATGGATGTCATATTCATGAAGTGCGTTTGGACAAGATAGAAGAAATTATTTTATAAAAAATTTAAGTACCAAAGGTAGTCTAGTCTAGGGAAATAATAAGTTAATAAGTGTTGGTTTTTCTAATTTGTACTGTAACATCCTTATACTTTCTATTTTAAGTATATCTATTTCTTAAGTAAACAAGTTAGATATTTTTCCATATCTTTTTTTTTTTCTGATGCAGAGTTCAGGTTAATTAATATTTTACTGCATCTGATAATGTATTACATGTTTGAAGCCTAGTGACTTTTCATTTTGACATTCTTGTGATTTCATATGCTGTATTCTTCAAGCAATAAAAATTCTGATGTGTTTTATAAATTGCTTTTATATTCAGTGATCTATAGGGAGGTTTCTATTATTACTATTTTTACTAGTTTTAAAAATCCTAGGCCCAAAAGACATTTTGATCACTTAGTATATAGTACCTGCCTTTCTCCTTTGTTTACTGCTATTTCAGAAAACGTGATTTTACTTGTGTTTCTATAATTTACAGTCTGAGGATCAAGGCATTTTAAAGCTAATTAAGCAGTGTTTTATTTTTAGCTAACCTTTTAGGATTTAAAAGTCACTATTATATTCTGCCAGCTGTTAAAATTTTTAAATCTTTTTGAGAGAGAAACAATCTTTAGAGTTCTTGAGAAGTAAAGTTGTTGTTTAGCATTTTCCCATTCTTGAATAGATATTACCTTTTTCAGCAGATTATCAGATTCGTAAGTGTTGAGAGGGCACAGTTTTAAAAACAGCATATACCATACACAATAAGAAAGAATACACAAAGAAGGATTTTGTTTTTCTTTAATTGCCAGAGTGTACATGTGCTTGTGCTTGACAGAGAGAGAGAGAAAGCACCCCGCAATCGGGGCACGATTATGGTACATCTCTTTTCCTTCATTTCTCCATTTTTTTGGGATTTTGGGGCATACACACACATGTGTTATATGGTTTTCAAGCACCAGGGTCAGGATTCAGACCGGGGTCAGTCATGTGGAATCTGACTCCCTTAACCACTAGGCTACTGGGCTGGCCCTGCCAAGAAGAATTTTTGGAAGTTAAACATACTCATATTACCAGACATCAGATAAAGATATAGAGAGCATTATGAGCGCCCCAGAAGCTCTCTTTTTGTCCTATCTTAACACTGTCTTCTTCCCCAGAAGTAACAACTATCCTGACTACAACCATAAATTAGTTCTGTTTTTTGTTTTGTGTGAATGCAGCAATACATACTTTTTATGAATCATTTTTGTGAGTATATTAGTTTCCTGTTGCGACTGTAACAAACTCCTATACACACACTGATTTAGAACCACACAAATTTACTGTTTTTATAGTCCTGGAGATGAAAAATCCAAAGTAAGTTTCATTAGGCTAAAATCATGGTTTCAGTAGTGTTGGTTCCTTCTGGAGGAAGGGGAGAATCTGCTTCCTTGCCTTTCCTAACTCTTAGTGACTGCCTGTATTCTTGGGCTTGTGCACCCTTCTTTTGTGTTCAAAGCCTGATTTTATCATCATATTGTCTTCACTTCTGTAGTCAGATCTTCTCCTGCATCTACATTTAGGGTTCCATCTAGGTAATCTGGGATAATCTCTTCAACTCAAGATTCTTAAATCAGTCACATCTACAACATCTCTTTTGCCACACAAAGTAACATTCACAGAGTCCAGCCATTAATTGGGACCTGGATATCTGGAAGCCCTTATGCGGCCTACCCAAGTAAGATCCATCCACATTGTTGCATGTATTTCTAATGCATTTATTCTTGTTGCTATCTGGTATTCTATTTATTTATCCATTTATTATTATATCCAAAATTTGTTATTCATTGTATCATTGATAATACCATTGAAGACTTTCTAATTCTGGACTATTATGAATAGTACTATGGAAAACATTTTTATGTGTGTCTTTTGGTGAGTGTACATATGCATTTCTATTGAACATATACCTAGGAGTAGAATTGCTAGGTCATGAGTATGCATATTTTCAGTTTTAGTTGTGTACTGTCAAATAGTTTTCAAAGTATTTGTAAGAAAGCACCATTTTAATGTATACCATAGTAATGAATTACTCTAATGGTCCAGTAGCCTGAGAATGTTAATGAACTTTTTATAATATCTAAATTATACTAAATGAGTTATACTTCTACAGCAGGTCTGTTGTTATTTAATATGATATACTTGGAAAAATAAAAGCAGAAGTATTTGTTCTTATTATTGACACAATACTATACATTCATTAGGTTATTTTTTAATAGTTTATTTTTATTTAGTTTTATTATTATACTTTTTATATTTGTTTTAGGGCACATGTGCTCACCAGGGAGAGAGGTAGAGAGAAAGTGAGAAAACAAGCCACCAGGTCCCAGTCTCAAACCATGGTCCATCCTGTGGGAATCCAGCACCTTAACAACCATACCACCTGCTGGGCCCACTCATTAGGTTATTATTCCTCAGAAGAAATGCAAGTTTTATAGGTCATAAATAGCATGTTGAGTTGTAGAAAAATCTGAATTAACTCTTTATTTGAATTAAAACATTTTTGGTTATAATCTTATTTAATGCATAACTAACTATTTCTTCATACAGAGCTCTGAATTATATCTATTCAACCCATTTATATCCAAATGACCATCAGGAAGATTATCCAATCTAGATAGCAGGGCACTCCTTGCTCCTTTCTACTGGTATCACTTTTTTTGTTTGTTTGTTTGTTTTGTCTCCTTCTCTGTCCCCAATAGCTTGGCTACAAGTTCTACATTACCCTTTCTTTTTTTTTTTTTTTTTTTTTGGGAGGTTTTTTTTTTTTTTTTTTTTGCTATAAGGCATGTGCGCTCACCAGACAGACAGAGAGATAGAAAGCGAGAAATCATCCTCCAGGGGGAATGGCCATGCCGCAGTCCCTTCTCCTCCATTCTCCTCCCGGGATCTTGGGCACGCATGCACACGTGCCTGGTGTGAGTTTTAAGCCACCGGGTCCAGGACGCGAACCGTGGTCGACTACATGGGAGTCCAGTGACATAGCCATTACGCTAACTGCTGGTCCCACCCTTTCTATTTTTGACCTTTCCCCATGGCATAGTATCACGGACAGGATACAGAGAATGACAGCCTAAATAGCCTCCTATCACCCATAATGTCACCACTGATCTTACATGTTTCCTCAAATAAACTAAAAGAGAAAATAGAGACCACATGTTTCCTCAAATAAACTAAAAGAGAAAATAGAGACCAAAAGCAGGAAACTTTAAACTTATGATTTGATTTCTACTATAAGTCAAGAACTTGGTAAAATCTTAAAACAGTATTTCTCAATCTCAGCATTATTGGTATTTGGAGATGGTTAATTCTTTGTCATGGGAGGCTTTTCTGTACATTGCAGGATCTTTAGCAGCATCCCTGGCCTATACCCACCAGATGCCAGTAGCATCCATCTCCATCCCACCCACAGTTGTGACAACTCAGAAATGTTTCCAGATATATTGAGTGTCCCTGGGAGTTGGTGGAGGTGGGCAGATAACTAATGTTGAGAAACACTGCCTTAGAACATCTAGGTTTTACTTCTAAGATAGGGGGCTGGGGAAAAGGCTAGGAAACCAAATCTCTGTTAGAACCAACATGCTATTGCATTCACATAAAAAGAAACAGGTAATTTGGAGAGAAAAGGTCCAGGATTATGAGTTTCTAAGAAATTTTTTTAAAAGTTGGAAGAGTTTTTTTAGAGAGACCTTTTTTTTTTTTTTTGAGAGGTTTTCACTATAGGGCGCGTGCGCTCGCCAGACAGACAAATAGAGACAGAAAGACAGAAAGCGAGAACTCACCCCCCAGGGGGGATGGCCATGCTGCAATCCCTTCTCCATTCTCTTCTCGGGATCTTGGACACGCACGCACATGCGCCCGGCGTGAGTTTTAAGCCACCAGGTCCAGGACGCGAACCGTGGTTGACTACATGGGAGTCCAGCGACACAGCCATTACGCTAACTGCTGGTCCTGAGAGACCATTTTTTTTTAAAAGTTTATTATTTTTTTCATGAGTGGGAAAGATAGCACCTCTGAACAGAGTCTTGACATTACAGTACACATCCCCTGCCCCCGGCCTTAGCCAACCCTGGACCCTGGGCATTCTTTTGCCTGGTGTACTCAGGGAAGTCTCCAGGTGCAAGCCCCCAAATTTCCTATGTGGGTCAACCTTGCAGAATGAATTTTACCTCTACACTACTTTTTGGCCACTTAGAAAGTAAAATCTGAGAGAAGGCTTTTCACATCTGCTGATCCCTTCATCCCCTAAGACCCAGTCCAGTTATAAATAAATCTCTGCTGTTTTACTACTTTTCTTCTTCATTGCTAGCCACACTCAGTTCAAAATAGGTGAATTATACTATCTCATTACTACATATGTCTTTTAAAAAAATTTGCTATAGGAAACACGCACTTACCAAGGAGAGACAGAGAAAGAGAGGAAGCATCCCCCAGCGTACCAAAGAGAAACAGATAAAGTAAGGATGCATCCCCCAGCAGGGATGTCCACACTGCACTCTCTTCTCCCATCTCCCCTTGGGATTTTGGGCATGTATGTACACATGCCTGGTGTGATTTTCAAGCTGCTGGTCCAGGACTCAACCGTGAAGTTGGATATGTGGGAGCCAGTTCCTTAACCACACCACTGCTGGCTGACCCTGTATATCTCTCTCTCTTTTTTTTTTTTTTTTTTTTTTTTTTGCTGTAGGACACATGCACTTGCTGGAGAAAAGACAGAAGACAGAGAAGGAAAGAGAAATCACCTCGTAGGGGAGATGAACATGCCATTCTTCTTCTCCTCTGGGGATTTTTGGGTCTACATGTACATGTGCCCAGTGTCATTTTCAAAATACGGGGTCTGGAGCTGAAACTGTAGTCAGCCATGTGGGAGTCCAGCATCTTAACCACCACACCACCTGTTATCCCTGGTCCTGTACATATTTTAACAAGCAT